TCGCTCTTAAGAAGGTATTTTAGAGAGAAAAGTATGTGTAATGCTGCAGGAAAAAAGGCGAATTTTCAGCAGAAAAACTCTTATTGCCGGGGCTGGTAACGAAAAATGGATAATCAGTTTCTAAATTCTTTTAAAAAATTAAAATAAATAAATAAATAAATAAATAAATAAAATAAATTAATAAAATAAAAAATCCTCTTACACGTGCCTTCGCCAAAATCTGTGTGGTGAGGTCCTTCAAATTGTGGTGGGTCCTCAAATAAAAATATTTTGGTAAACAGTGGGTATTTAATGAGTGTCCGTAAAACAACCTAGTGAATTACGTTATTATTGCTTAGGGCTAATCTTGTGAGTTGATGAGATGAACTCCATGCTTCCTCTAGGAATGTATGTTGATAAGGGCTGTGTTTGCAAACCACGCTACACGATTCTCTGTGGAACATCATGACAAAGATCTACAGTATCCAGCACAGAGTCCTCCCTGACCAATGTGTATTTTGACCTTCGTTTTCCGGCTCCATAGGCGAGGTAAAAGCATGCCACTCTCCCGAAGCTTTATGATCACTCGTGAAATCACTTCTGGACGAAATTGGCGACGGGTTGGAAAACTTTGTCTGGCTGTTTTTCTTGCGTTGCAGGTAGCAGCTACGTACATTAAATGCGTGATATTTTCTTTCTCAATTGATCAGTGTGCGGTATCGGCAGGTTCAAAAGTCTGTTTACCTCACTATAGAAGCCTCAATGCCACCAAGCAACAGACTAACTTGTATGAAACATAAGTACCCCCCCTTTTATTACTCTTTTGCACCAGCACTAAATTAGTGAACTGTTTTGTTAATCATAATATAGGGCTTATGCCATTTTCTCACTGTTAATCATGGACACCGCGGAGGATTGATTGACTGTGCACACAAATGTCTACTGAAAATATTCAATGCAATTGTCGGCCTGCGACAAGACAAAATGAAACTGGAGAAAGCATTAGTTGAAACTACACCCCCAGAAATAACTAATGAATTCAATTTTTTAGTAAACGAACATTTTGGCTGCGTTGGAATTTTGAAAGGCCGTTTTCAATCAGCCCATTAGCAGCGCCTGCATGAACAACAATTACCCCCGTTCCCTCTTTCCAGGAGGTGCAGCGACAACCACAGAATCATCAGTCCATGCTGTATTAATAGAGTGATTAGCATTCACTTGTTTCGTCCAGCCATACTATATCGTCCAAATTTTGGGCGCAAATTTCTGAGAAAACACATGCGCCATACGATAATATCCCTTCTCTCCATTAACACATAGCGTTTGTTAACTTTTTTCTCGCCCTTAAGAACTATTTCTTAAGAAGAGAAAGTAATGTAATCCTGCGGGGGAAAAGCGAATTTCCAGCAAAAAAATCTAATCGCCGGGCCGTGGTAACAAAAAAGTGGATAAAAAAATCATCTCACACGTGCCTTGGCCAGAATCTATGTTTCGTGGTTTCTTGATACCGAAAACCCAAATGACGGCAGTAGATCTGTCTTCCCGTCTGTGAACAACGCTAGCGGTTGACAAAACATTTTGAAAACGTTCTCAAAATGCCTCCAACTTTTTTTTATTAACCTTTGTTCACGGTTCAGCCTATTTTCTCCGAAATTGATATTTCCCAACTAATCTGGCTGATGTCGCGGCCCCTTGAATTTGAAACCGATATTTTAATTTTTTTGGGGGAGGTACTTACATGAAGCTCCTGGGACATTTTCCGAATTTTCAAAACAATGGTTTCATTTTGTTATTGGATAGTGTGAAGGACGTTTAAGAGAATGGTATAAGCCTCATTTTCGTTAAAAACCCTAATTTTTCGAAAGTTACAAAAATTCAATTTTTTGCTTAATTTTAGATGAATCTTGGGTGCTCTTAAAACCATTTTAAACAAATTTCTCAGAAACGGCTTCAAATTTGTCTTTCATTTTTCCTCAAAGAACTATAGAGATAATGGGGATTATCCTATTTTCAGCGCTCTCTGCATTTTCGAAAATTGCATCTTACGATTGGAAATGTAAATTCGAGTATCGCGCGCTTCGATTCAGGCGTTGTTTCGGAAAATAGCAACACAAAGGTTTCAAAATTATTCGAATTCATCCCATTGTTGTCGGTCGTGACGATTGTATGATGATATTTATGAAAGGAAATAGATTGAAGAAAGGTAATATATTTTTACTTAAAACTAACAATCACACTTCTGGTGACTTAAAACTAACAATCACCCTTACAGATGTTATGTTCAGTAAATACTTCTCTTTAAATGTATTCATGTTTCATTTCTAAAAGTAAGAAATGACAACTCTTCCTGACAATAGAAATAAACGCAGATAAGCACGGGCGGCGATTCGTTTAAATTAGACTTTTTCACGTTGTAACAGATTTTTTTGTATGTCCGAAATTGCAATATTTTAATATTGCGTAGCTATTTTCATTCAAGTGAGAAAGTATGTGCTGTTGGAGCACTTATAGCTTTATATGGGAATCCCAGATCGTGAATGTGTGTTCGAAGCGAAGCCACACTTCCACTGAATAATTGTGCATCTCGTAGTGATATCACAGGTTTTTGTAAGTTCGAACGTTCCTTCCTTGCATAATAACTATGTGCCTTCGAACAGCATTTTTCTGAAACGTGCCCAGATTCGTAATACGCCTTTCGGTGTTTCTTTTCTTGTCCGGTGTCTCCAGATGAGAAGGGCCAGCTTCTTCCGTATCCTGCTTCTCTTTCCCGATCTTCACCACTGTATTTTGTGCAATTTCAGAACATTTGCTGTTCGCAGTGCTACTTTTGAAAGGGGTAATAAGGGCCCACCATTATTTTTCTCCCTCTCAAAGTAATCACGAACATTTACGCAGATTTCGCGGAATTTTCCTATCAGTGGGACGCCTCGACCGGATTTATTTTCTCTTCTACGTGACAGCACACATAAACGATACACAAAAACAAGGAAAACAGGAAGGTTAAAAACAATTATAATAATAACCAGATTGGGCGGAATACCACTTTTTGGGCCGAAAAATGGCTCTCTCTCGCAAAGTGAAAATTTATTTCGCGGAATACCGCCCAACGGACGGAAATGTTTAAAAAAAATTGCGATTTTGGGCGGGTTTTCAGATTACAAGGATCTTTTTTTCGAAAAACAAACGACGTTGACTGAGTTTGATTTTTAGTTTTTTAGATTATTCATTATTTTTCATTAATCAGTAGTTAATTCGTTCAAACGTACTTTGAGAAGTGAGTAATGTTGGTTTTTAGACCTATAGTAGGCCTGTAGAGTGTGTTCTAAAAGTCATAACGTCTTTGTCGTGCACGAGTATATATCATATTGACAGTACTTCGAGTAAATTTTAGAACACGCCATTTAAAATTAGTCATCTTTTTTAAGTACGGTGTCACTGCCAGCATTTTCTGTTAAGCAATAGGGATGTATGTAGGGCCTGTGTAAGCATTTCTGTGGTTATCTTTTTAAGCGCGGATATATAAGAGGAGCAAGGAGAGTAAAAATAAGAACGTTATTTTATCCCTTATTTATTCCGTACTATTCCTCCCATCTGCTGTATTCGTAAGAAAGGTCGTAACTAACTTTTAAATATTAAGATTATTATTACATATTAAGATTATATCTCATTATTACAAAACGTGTAAGTTTTACACAAATATTATTCATTGCAATGTTCACAAAAAAAATAAAACTAATCGAGCATTTCATAGGGTCATTATCTCAAAAAAAAAAAAAAGTCTAATACAATTATTTTTTATACAAATTCAAGTTTCCCACTTGATATATTTGAATTTTTCTTATTAGGCGAATTTACATCCGTCTAACGGCGGATGTTTACACAAAGATCCGGCAATCCTGATTATAACAACAAATCTATCGCTACTCAGAAATTCCGCACACACTACGCTCTTTGCAATAATAACCTCACACTTGACGCTAGACTTCGCTCAGCTGGTTAACTACAACATTCGAGGCTTTTGATTCATTTGTTCCCTAATTTTATGTAACAACAGTGTGCAAATGCCGAAGCTTCTGATTTGCTGTTGCTTAGGTTACGGCATTGGCATCATCACGTGATCATGAAATGTCACTAACATATTACTCGCGCAACTTTTCGTAAACGATGGATTGAAGAAATGCGTGTAGAGTGGGGGTATTAGTTACGAAATCGGGCTCTAAATTTTATGAAGCAATGCCAATCTCTGGAGAATCAGTCACGCCTTCGTAACGTTCTCAGTAATTTGCGTTCTAACTTTATCAGGAGTTCGAGGCATCTCCTGTAATGTACCTTTACCTGCTTCGGTCATTTCTTTAGATTTTTTGAGAAGATAACCGATAAAAGTTCTCGTCTTCAAAAGAAAATTGTTTCTATTCCGCGCCAGTGAAGGTGTGTTTCGAATGTTGTCATCAGTGATCGCTGCGAGCTATTGCTTTTATCTGTTTATTGTGCCAGAGAGGGGGGAGCAAGGTCATCGTTCAAGCGAGTAATACTAATTTACGTGCGAGTAATACTAATTTTATTCCGTCTTTAATCGAACAATTGCGAATCCAGATGTGGCCAGTGACGGTGTTGCTAGGTTACGCGTTATGGTTGTTTTTTGTTTGTTTTTTAATGGATGTTTTAGGGGGCAAATGTATTTGAGGCTTTTCGTTGAGTTTTTTAAATGTTATTTTTTTTAAATATCTATTGTGCATCACAAAATCACAAAGTGCGAAAGTAGATCCCTATGATTACTGCAGGTATATTTATTCAAATTTATTCAAAACTAAGCGCAGTAAAACCACTTATAAGAATATAAGATCTTTTGCATGAATTCCTTCATTTGGAATTATGTTCTTACACCGTCGCCATGGATGAAAGAGGTAGGTGGACTCTTCTCGTGCCCCGATTTTTGCTTATTCTGCGTAGCATCAATTTGCGTCACAAACCACGTGACCACAACACAGGCACTTCGTTTGAAAAGTCAGTCCAGACTACCACTTGTTGCATGGAGAGCGAAAAGTGTTGAGAAACATTGGTGATAATTTTGGAATTTAAAATTCCCGCTTATTTTGTGACGTATCTTAAAGCCTAAAGCTCATTGGCTGAAGTCGGATACGATGCGCAAGAGCTCACCAATCATTTTCCATCATGGTTCGCCGCATGATGCTTTGACAACTGACTTTCGCTGACTTTGACGCATGATGCAATGACATCATGCTTTGTTGTGCAATATCTACATGCTCCCTCTTTATGGGTCAGCAGAGGTGGCACATTTTAAGATAGAGATTGGTGACAGAAAACCATGGAGACATTAAATGAATTCACATTGTTAATTAACTGGTTGTTTAAAAACAGTCTTGGTGTTTAATTTGCTTTTTGACATTTCGTTGTTGTTGTCTTTGATGTTTGGGCAAGACAATATTTTCGTAGCAGGAATTTTATTGAAGTGGGGCAATGTTTAAGTGGGGCATTGTACCCAAAGAGTACCGTTTGCATGAAGCACCGTTACTCGACTTTAGTGTCGTGGCCGGCTGATAGACGCTAACCTCGTGGTACCTCTTCAATGATATGGTTCTGCCTACGTGTTTTGACGTTTGATATATCTGACCTATATTGGAATGTGAACGTTTGTGACGCATGTGAATGCAAACGTTGAAATTATAGGTTCTAGAATTCCTGAAAATTGCTGCTTGCTGAAAAATTAACATTTACATTTTCATAGTTGAAGCACTTATATTTCCAGGTGCAACGATGGCCCAAAAGAGTGTATTCATGACGTACTTTTTGTGGTTAGTTGGTGGATTTTTTGGTTTACATCATTTGTACTTAGGACGTGACTCTCAGGCGTTTTTGTGGTGGTGCACCCTTGGAGGTTATATTGGTTTAGGTTGGTTGAGAGACATTTTTTTGATACCCCGTTATGTTGCGGATGCGAATGAAGATGAACAATTTTTACGTAAACACATTCAAACCGTGAAGAAACATGAAAGGGTATGTGTGCGACTTCTGTAAATCTTCATTATTTTCCTTGTACAATTTACTTGAACAATTATATTTTTTTATTTACAGCCTCCCTTCTCGATGACACGTTTTTGTGGAATGGTCATTGTCTCTTATTTATTTGGATCAGTGGTTATGCTTGCAATTCCTGAAGATGAAGTGGCCAATATAAATTGGAACTTTTTAATGATTTTTGTACCTTTGGCATGTGCTGTGGGTAGGAAAAATCAAAATATGTTCAACTTGTAAGTGCACATTGATTTTGCCTTGCAAGAAGTTGCTTATTTTTTTTGGTTGCCAGGTGTGTGGACTGTTGGCAACATTGGCCGAGAGATGGGTACTATTTGGTGGGCTCTTGCCGCAGCTTATGCTGTCTATCCATTCCGTTCCATAATAGATGACGACTCCAACTGGTTTACTGGTATGACATTTCTTTCAGCTTTGGCATTTGATAATAAGTCAAAACAGTGGAGAAGAACACCTGTAATTAAAAAATCACTTTTTAGGTATGTATTAATAATTACATTTTATTTGTTTTGTTTTCAAATTAACCAATTTACGCCAACGTTAATTAATCTGTTTCAGACGTGTCACAACATTGGTTCTTTGTGGACTTCTTTATTTGTCTTTGTGGAGTAGTTACTTATATTTCAATGCCCGTGTAACTGATAGTGATGGAGAAGAAGTAAAAGTCCATGAAGCTCTTCATCATTTCTTTACCTCTCCATGGTGGATGGATGTCCAACAATCTTTCCAAGATACTTGGACTTATGCCCAACATCATGGGTGGTATGAAACATGGAAACAAGTGATAGATTTAACAGATCCCCATGGAGAGCAAAATGCTTACAAGGTTAGTGAACAGATTGTTTTAGTCTGTGGCATTTTTTCCCAACACACTACAATGTGAGTTGGTCAGTGATTAATTTGAATATAATTGTCCACTATTATCAATTCTACTATTCTGTTCAAATTTGAAAATTATTGATATAATCAATTATTATGTATAGTGTCTGTGACATGGTTGGCGAAGTTTTCTCCAGCTCTCTCCCCCCTCCCCCACTTCGAATTCCAGTTTTCAACTTGTAAAACCTGTGAAAAAACATTTAAATGTTGTAATCATTTTTTAAAATTTCTTTTAATAAAGTAACAGAACGTGTTATTTTATGTACCAGAATATTAATTGAAAACTCAAGTTTCATCACAACAAATGCATAAACCAAGTATAAAGAAAATGTAATCTGATAATAAAATACCAACTTCATTTTCCTAATTCATCACAACCAGTAAATGCAGAGACAACACAAGCACTAAATAAACTTTCAGTAAAATGCACACTTGTTTTTCAACTATACTATATGTTACATGTTTGTTGCTTAAATACCCAAACATAGTGCCTGCAGCAACAAAAATGCTTCTGTCAAGTCAGTGGATAATGGGCTCTTGGAGCAGCAAAAATCGACTTTTCTGAAACAGCTCAAGTAAAAACTGCAACTTCTTTCTTCATTACATGATGTCCTAAGCTGTAATGCACAGAGTATGAGAATTTAGTTGTAACATCAGATTTGAGAAATTATGGATTAAAATATAGAAACGTTTGTATCTTTCGGTCAAAATCGAAACTGTTTTATTCTCATTGTGTTTTTCCAGTATTTTTAACAAAACTATTGACACCTCACACTGGGCCAGAGGCTGCTTAGTTTTCTATCTTCTAAAAGTGACACGAGATTGGAAGTGAAGCCTTGTGTGTAGGTTCACTTAATGTCCTAACATCCTTCCTTTTAAAAAGCGAAGTGTTTGTGAAGACTTATGTGTAGGTTCACTTAATGTCCTCGTGTCCTTCCTTTTAAAAAGTGAAGTTTTTGAAAAGTTTGAAATACATCTATGTTGCGTTAAATAGAGTTGTAATCATCTTATAATTCATGGTTGGTATTTCTAGATACATAGTTTCTTAATCAAACTGCATTGGGAATAGTGATGTCAGGAGGATTCTTTTAGAAAATGACATGGCAAAGAAATGTTGAGAAATTTCAATGCCTGAACTTCAGGTCTACTTATTTATGTTGCTGTATTTTTCTTCTTTCTGTTGAATGTATCACTTTCTTAATCTTCTTTTTTTAACTTATCTTGTAATAATTATCCCTGCAATAAATTTATCTCTGCAGCAATTATTGTGTAACTTGTGTTCAAAATTTGAATGAGGACTTGCATTCAAGAAATGTATTTCACCGAATTTGTATATTGATCTCTGATTTATGTGTCCCTTTCAATACAATTTGGATAAAGTAATTTCCCCTGGCATTTGATGAAATATATTATATTGTAGGTTCTTGGTGTATCTAGCAGTTCTTCACAAGCTGAAATAACAGCTCGCTGGCGAGCCTTATCAAGAGAATTTCACCCTGATAAAGTAAAAGATCCTGAGCAGAAGAGTGTTGCCCAAGAACGTTTCATGGAAATTCAACAGGCCTATGAGATCCTTTCAAACATAAAGGTGAAACGAAAGAGGCGCAATAAAAAGTTTGATACTGAGTTCTGAATTTCTCGAGTGAGCTTCTATTATATCAGGTTTATTGGATCTGAAGTTATGTATATTTAAGCAATGGCTGTGCCTTTTTTGCACGTATGTTTTTTCTAGTTTCCTTTGCCTTAGGCTCTTATCAAGCGAGACTGAATATACTAAATATCATTGTATTTATATATTATGAGGTGTTTTACAACTATTGTAAGAGCTGCACATAATTTAATTCTTAATGTAAGGATGTCTCTTTGAGAACTTCAAACAAAGATTTGTATCTGTAAAAATTTGCTTATGAAAGGAATTGGAAACAGAAACCAGAGGAATTTTTTCCCCTTAGTTTTTTAAGGGTCAGTCTATGAATTACGTAATGCAAATTTTTAGTATTTCAATACCCCCACTCCCCCTTGTAACGCACTCGTAACACACGCTTGACCCCCTCCCCTCTGAATAATTATGTAACCCTTGTGACACCCCCTCCCTCTGTAAACGCAAGAAGTAATAATAAATTATAGCTCAGCGAAAACAATTCATTTTACTTGTGTTGTATATTAAAGTAATTAACAATAAATAAAGTAGAAATTAGTTGGTGATACTGGCTGCACTTAACAATGAGATTGGGGCCTGTTGGGACTAAAGGAAGTATGCATGGGCGAGAATGGTTGATCACAAGCATGCCGTCTGATGCAAGAGCAAGAATCTACAGCACCAATTTAAATTGATTCTAGAATGTACTGCATATCAGTTTTGAATATTTTCTTTGTGGTCTTACAGATTCCAAAAAAATGTTGAAAAGATTTTTCTATTTATTGTAACAATTTATAACTAATAACTTTAGTTGTTTTTTTTTTATCAAATTAATTAGTTAATATTGTAATGTTTTAGTAAAGAACTCAAAAATGGAATTATTTAAGCAAATGTTAAAAAAAAATAATTAAATATCAATGTTACATAAAACAACTAATATTCTCCTACCCCTATGTAACGTAGTGTAACTCTGCCTCAGACCCCCCTCCCTCCTTCTTTAGCGTTACATAATGTATGGACGACCCGTAATGTATGTGTTCTTTATTACTAATGGTCAAATCAACGAATATTTATTGTTTTATCATGATTTTTATAGTTTTTAGAATATATTTCCGTATTTCTTTTCAATGATCTGTCTAAGATAGTTTGCTGATACTGTGATTGCATAAATTTGTTAATTCTCTTGTTTTGCTTGTGAAGTACTTGATGAGATAGAACAAACAAACAAATGGCATGTAATTTTATTGTAATAATGATAACTTGCTCTCGAGATGACAACTGCATTGGTTTAAATATAGATTTGTGATGTCTTTCTTTAATCTGTGTATCAGAAATGTTAAGTAATGTACAAAGTAGCAAAACAAGTTAAAGGAAAGGCAAAAATATTTGCAAGTATGAAAGGACCTCTTGGTTAATAATTTTAACTATGCAATTTCTGTACAAAAGATTACTATTTATTTGTCTGCTTTATAAGGGACAAATTGATTACATTCCTTACGTAGAGTCATAAAGAATCATTAAATTTATAAGTAATTCAGTATTGAAAAATAAGTTAGGTGCAAATGTGGTGGGACACTGGCAACAGTTTGTTTTATAATGAATCTGGAGACATTCCTTGAAAATTATTTTTTTACTAACTGATATCAAATTTATCACAGATTTCAAAATATCATATAGGTACATTAATTTTATATCTCAGAGAAGTCTGGTGATGATGAGGTAAAAACACTTCTTTCATTTATTGTAAATGTCTTTGTGACATTTTATATTTAATCTTGGTACAAATATTTTTATACTATTTGTAAGAAATGAAAATATTAATTGCAAATGCCTTGCTTCAGATTCTTCCTTTTCTAAAGAGTTGAAGTTTGTTAGTAAAGTTAGTCTTCCAGTATTTTCTAGAATTTTTTTTATGCTTTTGCAATAAAAATAATGATTTGGAGAAAATACAACTTTTTGAAGAATAAAAATCCACCTTCAATTTTTCTATAAGAATTTCTCTAAAAAATTTTAAATAAGTTGTTTACAACTGACTTGCCTTGTAATTAAAGCCTGACCTCTGACTTTTATTAGAGAAAATTATAAATTAATATTCAATCCACTGATATCACTGTGGAGTAAAATGCAAGATTCCATAAAAGTATCTTAAAAATTTTCTATACTTTTTTTAATGTCTTTAGTATTAAATGCTATTTTTCTCACAAACCTCAAGTAGAGATGAAAGAGTAATCTGAAGGTTTTTTTAAAATTGTGTGTAATATCATATTTACTTGATAGACATTTCTTCGTTTTTCAGTTATAAAATGTGTTGTATGTTTTATAATTCTGGTCTTACAATAATGTCTTACTATTGAAATCTCTACAAGAATCTATGGAGTCTATCAAAGAACCAGTATATTGGTGGTTTGAAGAAATTCACCACTACTCCTACAGTATTCATAATTTTTTCAACTGTGATGAATCGGATTCCATTATATATTTCATATATAATATTATTGTTTTTACAATATTTTTCATGTTTGTATTATTTGAGATTCAAGGTTACCTTCAGTTCAAATGCAACTATTTTTTAGGATTTCCACTTGGTGAAAAGAACTATTTCTCTGTAATTATATTTGTATATTGAATAATTTATTTAATGAGAACACAATAAGGCAAAATGAAATATAATAAAAATAACATTACTACTGCTGATAATGGAGATGGAAGTTTGTTAAAAATGAAATATTATTGATGTTATTAAAATGGTTGCTCAATTGTGCATTTTTATTGATTTCAATTCGTTTCTTCCCTGAAATATGAGTTAAAATTTCTGTTAGTTTTATTGAAGTGTCCAACAGGTGTTGCCATTTTTATAGACTTGAAGAATCTTAAAAAACTATATCTGGGTGACCCAAGCCCCTTGATGTTAATAGTCTATATTTTTTCTTCAAAAATAGCGACTTAACACATTAAAACTTATTGTGAATTAATTATGATGAGTGAGGTAGTATTAAACCATGTCTAATTAATAGGTTATTATTATTAATATTATTATTAACATTATTGTTATTAACTCAATTTGTAATATTTCAATGTATCAATTGAAAAGTGACAAAAGAATGTTTTTAATAATCTGATCATTAGAAGCAGTGGCAGTTTGTACCTAATGTGCACTGTTGCATCACATCCAGATAATCAAAAAGAGTTTATTATATATTAGAAAAATAAATTTTCGTTTTAGTAGCACTCAATGTTCAAGATATTGCAGAAAAATCAATGTATTAAAAACGTAATATACGAAATAGAGCGCTCTCCTGGACAGCGCCCTATGTCACGCTCCTTTACTGCACTCTTCAGGCTGAACCAATAGTCCGATTTTCGATCTGTAATCGGCATTTGACGCCTTTTTAAAATTGAATTTACGATATACTAGATAATTTCCAAAAATCTAGCAAAAACGCGTATTTTAAATTAGTTCTCAAACTACCGAGAACAAATTAAAAATTTGGGCCAATAGAGCGCGGGCGACATGCTTTCTGAATCCAACGAAGCGACAATCATGCAAATCGGACGAATAGGAGCGTCGTAAAGCGAAATTAACGAAATCACCTCGCCCCCCCCCCTTTCACTTCTGCGCCTTTGCGTCACCAACCCGCCAGTTGTGGGCCCTCTTGTCAGCGCGGCGGCACAGCCAGGCCCGACGGAGCAGGCGGGACTTGGACACGCAAGCCACACAATCGGTTTATGCGTTCGTCACTTTGCATCTCAATCTATTTTTCACGGATATCAAACTAGATGCTATACTACTATTGTTTGATTAGCAACTATGAATATATCTTAGAGTGTTGTAAAACTTGTATACAGAATATCAGATGACAGTGCTTCAGTTAATATTTTTCGAAATTTGGAACGTAATCGGCGAATGTTTTGTACTTGATCACTCGAGGATCCACATTCTCGTCTATCTCAGAAACTATTCGTCTGACTGGAGTTTGGTTTGCACCTATGAATTTCTCTCAAAGTGTTCTATTTGTATACAGAATATCAGATAGCAATGCTAAAATTAATATTTTTCAAAATTTGAAACTTAATGGGGGGGGGTTAACTTGATCCCTATAAGTTCGACTTTGTTACTGGTGTATCTCGGAAACTATTCGCCAGTTTGTATGATGAATTTCTCGTAAAGTATTCTACTTGTACAAGGAATATCAGAAAACAGTGCCAAAATTAATATTTTTCGAAATTTGGCACGTAATATCAAGTGTTTTGTAACTATCACGCGAAGCTCCACTTTGTTTCTCGTCTATCTCGGAAACTATTCGTCTGATTGTAATTTTGTTGGCACTTACGAAATTCTCTTAAAGTGTTCTACTTGTATACAGAATATCAAATGGCAGTGCCTAAATTAATGTTTTTCGAAATTTGGCACGTACTAAGGGGGGGGTGTTTTGTACATGATCACTCCAGGTTCCATTTTGATTCTCGTCTATCTCGGAAACACTTCGTCTGATAGGAGTTTGGTTTTTCCATTGTATTTCTCTTAAAGTGTTCTATTTACACTAAGAACTTCAGATGGCGGCGCCGAAATTCATTTACTTCCTATTTTGTCACATAATTTTGTACATTATCACTATACACTCCATTTTGTTTCTCGTCTATCTCGGTACCTATTCGTCTGATTGTAGTTTGGTTTGAACCCATGAATTTCTTTTAATGTGTTCTACTTGTATGCAGAATATCAGATAGCTGCGCTGAAATTAATATTTTTCGAAATTTGGAACGTTTTGTACTTTGCACAATTGAGGAACCTTTTGTTTCTCGTCTATCTCGGAAACTATTCGTCTGATATGAGTTTGCTTTGCACCAATCAATTTCTTTTAGTGTATTTTAATTGTATACAGAATTAGAGATAGCAGTGCTGATACTAATATTTTTCGAAATTTGGCACGTAAGGGGTTCGTTTTGTACTTGCCATATGGGTTCTTTGTTTCGTCTATCTCGAACTATTCGTCTGATTGGAGTTTGCTTTGCACCAATCAATTTCTTTTAATGTGTTTTACTTGTATACAGAATTAGAGATAGCAGTGCTGAAATTATATTTTTTCGAATTTTGGCACGTAAGGGGGGGTCGTTTTTACTTTGCACATATGAGGTTGCTTTGTTTTTCGTCTATCTCGGAAACTATTCGTCTGATTGGAGTTTGCTTTGCACCAATCAATTTCTTTTAATGTGTTTTACTTGTATCACAGAATTAGAGATAGCAGTGCTGAAATTAATATTTTTCGAAATTTGGCACGTAAGGGGGGTCGTTTTGTACTTTGCCCTATTGAGGTTGCTTTTGTTTTTTTTCGTCTATCTCGAATTCATTGGTCTGATTGGATTTGCTTTGCACCAATCAATTTCTTTTAATGTGTTTTACTTGTATACAGAAATTAGAGATAGCGTGCTGAAATTAATATTTTTCGAATTTGGCACGTAAGGGGTCGTTTTGTACTTTGCACATATGAGGTTGCTTTTGTTTTTCGTCTTCTCGGAAACTATTCGTCTGATTGGAGTTTCTTTGACCAATCAATTTCTTTTTAATGTGTTTTACTTGTATACAGAATTAGAGATAGAGTGCTGAAATTAATATTTTTTCGAAATTTGGCACGTAAAGGGGGTCGTTTTTGTCTTTGCCATATGGTGGTTCTTTTGTTTTCGTCTATCTCGGAATCTATTCGTCTGATTGAAGTTTGCTTGCACCAATCAATTTCTTTAAATGTGTTTTACTTGTATACAGAATTAGAGATTAGCAGTGCTGAAATTAATATTTTTCAAAATTTGGCACGTAAAGGGGGTCGTTTTTGTATTGCCCATCGAGGTTGCTTTTGTTTTTCGTCTATTCGGAAAACTATTGTCTGATTGGAGTTTGCTTTGCACCAATCAATTTCTTTAATGTGTTTTACTTGTATACAGAATTAGAGATAGCAGTGCTGAAATTAATATTTTTCAAAATTTGGCACTTAAGGGGGGGTCGTTTGTACTTTGCACATATGAGGTTGCTTTTGTTTTTCGTCTTTTATCGGAAAATATTCGTCCTGATTGGATTTCCTTTGCACAATCAATTTCTTTTAATGTGTTACTTGTATACAGAATTAGAGATAGCAGTGCTGAAATTATATTTTTTTCGAAATTTGGCAGCGTAAGGGGGGTCGTTTTGTACTTTGCACATATGAGGTTGCTTTGTTTTCGTCTATTCGGAAACTATTCGTCTGATTGAAGTTTGCTTAGCACCAATCAATTTCTTTTAATGTGTTTTTACTTGTATACAGATTAAGAAATAGCAGTGTTGATTAATATTTTTTCGAAATTTGGCACGTAGGGGGGGTCGTTTTGTACTTTGCAACATATGAGGTTGCTTTTGTTTTTCGTCTATCTCGGAAACTATTCGTCTGATTGGAGTTTGCTTCACCAATAATTTCTTTTAATGTGTTTTACTTGTATACAGAATAGAGATAGAGTGCTGAAATTAATATTTTTCGAATTTGGCAGTAAGGGGGGTCGTTTTGTACTTTGCCACTGAGGTTGCTTTTGTTTTCGTCTATCTCGGAAACTATTCGTCTGATTGGAGTTTGCTTTGCACCAATCAATTTCTTTTAATGTGTTTTACTTGTAATACAGAATTAGAGATAGCAGTGCTGAAATTAATATTTTTTCGAAATTTGGCAACGTAAGGGGGGGTCGTTTTGTACTTTGCACCATATGAGGTTGCTTTGTTTTTCTTTTATCTCGAAACTATTCGTCTGATTGGATTTCTTTGACCAATCAATTTCTTTTTAATGTGTTTTACTTGTATACAGAATTAGAGATAGCAGTGCTGAAATTAATATTTTCGAAATTTGGCACTTAAGGGGGGGTCGTTTTGTACTTGTCACTATGAGGTTGCTTTTTTTTTTCTTTTATCGGAAACTATTCGTCTGATTGGATTTTCTTAGCACCAATCAATTTCTTTTAATGTGTTACTTGTATACAGAATTAGAGATAGCGTGCTGAAATTAATATTTTTCGAAATTTGCACGTAAGGGGGGGTCGTTTTGTACTTTGCACATAGAGGTTGCTTTTTGTTTTCGTCTATATCGGAACTATTCGTCTGATTGAGGTTTGCTTGCACCAATCAATTTCTTTTAATGTGTTTTACTTGTATACAGAATTAGAGAAGCAGTGTTGTTATTATATTTTTCGAAATTTGCACGTAAGGGGGGGTCGTTTTGTACTTTGCACATATGAGGTTCTTTTGTTTTTCGTCTATCTCGGAAACTATTCGTCTGATTGGAGTTTGCTTTTGCACCAATAATTTCTTTAATGTGTTTTACTTGTATACAGAATTAGAGATAGCAGTGCCTGAATTAATATTTTTCGAAATTTGGCACGTAAGGGGGGTCGTTTTGTACTTGCCCATCTGAGGTTGCTTTTG